ATAAAAACAAAGTATAAAAAGTAAAGCCATATTAATATGCTGAGCTGTAAAAGGCTCAAGTCAACAACTTCTGACATTGCCAGTCTTACGGAAAACCCACTACTATTATGGACTACTGGACTATATTGGAATATTTTGCTGAATTCACTCACCTACAATATTTAAATATCAATGGAATACCCTTCTCTGACAAAACTAAACAAAAGGGGCTACAAATGAATGACCATTTTTTATCTGTATATTCAAAATAGGATAGATATACAGCTGCATTCTCTTAATTCAGTGAATAGAGAGATTTGTTCTAATAGTGTCTGTGGACAGGATATCATGTATGCATCTTGTACAATGAATAACACTAAGACAACAATATGCAATGTATTAATTATTGAAAGTGTGCTAATTGGTTTTGAAACTGTCTCATTGCTATTTGTTTCTCAATAAAATTATTTTTAAAAAATAAAATGATTTTGCTAAGTATATATTTCAACTGAGGTGTATATATAAAATGTCCTAATAGATACAAGTATTTACTTGTGGTGAGTTGAAGGCTTGTTGTCTTTGTCAGAACCATAGGCAGAACACTAATGTACATCCTGCACAGGAAAAGCTCTCCGTCTTTGATCTTTAATTTTCTATGACTAGTAAATAGCCTAAAGCAGCTCTCGATGTTCTCCTTACTACTAGGATTGGTATTTTGACTAGCTGCGAAGCCTTATGCAAAAGGGCTAGGGCAGATTTTCAGGCCCTCCACAACTTCTTACAAAAGATTGGGTGCCAGAGGCAGGGGCATATCTGCTGATAAGTTGTGGATACTGTCAGTGAGAGAAAGCAGCCTTGCTTGGGGACAGAAGGGTGCAGCCCTGTGGATAGCACCTGTCCTTTTAAACCAGTGTGAAAAAGCAAAAGCCATGACCCTTTCATGTGAGTGTCACTGTATTCTGTAAGTTTAGCCCTTTATCATACAAATGAGTGTGCTTGAATACCTAATAAAGAGGCACTGCATGGATAATGTGTGGATTGAGGGATATTTCTCAAATTTTAAAATGCTGAATTACCAATGAATCTTGGTAAAATGCAGATCCTGCTTCAGGATTAGTTAGGGCCTGTAAAGCTGCTTCTCTGATGAGCTGTCAGGTGACAAGAAAGCTGCAAGGACCACATCTGGATCCACAGCTTAGGCTATAGATTAGCATATCTGGGTAGCTCTTAAAAAACCCAATGCCAAGGGGGCTGGGGAGATGGCTCAGTAGAATAAGCACTTCCCTGGCAAGCACAAGGGTCTGAGTTCAATCCCTGGTTCTGAAAAAAACCAAAATCCCAATGCCTAACTACACCCCCACATCAATGAAATAAGAATGCAGAAGGCAAGATCAAGATACCAGGCATTGTGGACTCTCTGCCAGGGTTGAGTTTGCGTGCAAGGCCTGAGTGGGTATTGCGGCTCATTCCTACGACTTCAGAACTCAACCAAGAGTATGCTACTGCTGTCATGATCTGTCCATCATGTGTGAGACTTAAGATGTCTAGCTACCTTTAATGTCTAGCTCTGAAGTTTCTAAGCCTGACCTCGCCGCCAGGCTGTGCAGGATCCCAGCCAAAGCCCTCGCCAGGTGCTTGCTGCTCGCCATCCACTAGCAGCTCTGTTCTTGACTGCTCCAGATTCTTCTTGGAAGGCCAAATGGGGCTGTGAGGAGTCTAGATGAGAATAAGTTCGATCTTGCAATAGAGCAGAAGTCCTCAAGCTTGCTGCATAGTCAAAGCACCCATTGCAGTCAATATGTGAGGGTACTTTTAAAAGCTC